CCCACTCGGTAATGTTTACGTCCATGTTGGGCCACCAGACGTAGCTCCTGGCTAGTCCCTTCATCCGAACAATCCCAGGGTGCCCCTCATGCAAAAGTGTTAAGTCTTTTTCCTTAGGCACAAGGGAACAATAACCTGATCGCCCCATAATAGACACCCCCCTTGCATAGTTAGTTCGTCCCGTTTGCTCGCGTACTGTTTAAATTCCCCACCCCCAGTCTTCTCCGCCCCCCCTCATCACCCAACTTGCAACCGTCTGGATCACTTGGTCCTTGGTTGAGGCTCTCGCTACCTCTGCTGATGTAATGGGCCCCGAGTCCAATACGTCTATCAGCAGAATGGGGATGCTGGGTGTGGGGTCTTCCAGCTTGTCTGGTAATGGGCATCGGCTGAGTGCACTGGCATTGCCCATGTCCGCCCCTGGTTGATGTACCAGGCAATAAGAGTATGCTGCAAGGAAGATGGCCCAGCGTGTCATCCTGGGCAATAGGGCTGCCGGTGTCGGTCGGTCTCTGCGATGAGACCCAGGAGCAGCCGATGGTCGGTGATCAGGTTGAAGTCCCTCCCGAATAGGTACTCGTGGAACTTTTTTACTTCCGAGATGGCAGCGAGGGCCTCCTTGTCAAGCTGGCTGTAATTTCTCTGGGCGCTTGACAGAGTTCGGGAGTAGTAGGTGATGGGTGCCTCTAGGCCATTTGGGAGTCTATGGCTCAGGACAGCTCCCACACTGAAAGGGGACGCATCACAAGCTAAAACAAGGGGAAGCGTAGAGTTGTATTGTATCAAGAAACTCTCAGCTGACAGCAATTTCTTAATGTTTGCAAATGCATTGTCCTTGTCCTTCCCCCATTTCCAGGTGGACTTCTTGGCTAACAGTCTGTGCAGGGGTTCAGCCACTGTTGCCTTGTCCTTTAAGAAAATTGCATAGAAATTTAACAGTCCCAGGAACGCCTGTAGTTCCGCCTTGTCCTTAGGGGTGGGGGCCTCCTGGATCGCCCTGATTTTACTCTCGGTGGGGTGTATGCTGGTGCCGTCTACTCAGTACCATAGGAACTCTACTGATGGGACCGCGATCATGCATTTGTTGCGTTTGACCTTGAGTCCAGCAGTCCTGAATTTTCCGAGGACCTTTCTCAGCCTCCCCCCTAGTTGCTGTTCATCTTCAGCGGTGATGAGTACATCATTGAAATAGGGGACCACCCCGGGGATCCCTTGCAGCAGCTGCTTCATGGTGCTTTGAAAAAGTCCGGGGGCTATGCTAACTCCAAACTGCAGGCGGATGCATTTGAAGGCCCCTCTGTGAGTTACGATAGTCTGTGCTTCTGCGGTAGTGCCATCTACCGGCAGCTGCTGATACACCTGTGCAAGATCAAGTTTAGCGAATATCTTGCCGGGATCTAGGGAATGCAGCAAATGGTGTACAATTGGAACCAGATAAGTGCTTTGTTGAAGGGCCTTATTAATTGTACACTTATAATCAGCGCATATGCACACTGACCCGTCCGGTTTCATGGGTGTCACAATTGGGGTCTCCCATTTGGCATGGTCGACTGGCACAAGCACCCCTTGCTTAATCAATTTGTCTAACTCGACATCTATTTTGGGTTTCAGGGTGAATGGAACCCTCCTAGCCTTCAATCGGATTGGGGCAATGTTGGGGTTGAGGTTGAATGAGATAGAGGTCCCCACATACTTGCCGAGCTGTTCATCGAACATGTCCTGAAACTCCTGCATCAGGTCGTCTTTCAGGGTGCTCTGGATGTTCCTTACTCCGGTGAATCCCATGCCCAGGGCTAGAAACCAGTCCATGCCCAGGAGGCTCGGGAGCTTGCCGCTGACAATGGTGAGGGGCAGTTTCTTGTTGAATTCCCCGTATTGCACTTGGAACTCACCTATTCCTTCTACAGGGATGTGGTTTCCTTGATAGTCCTTTAGCCAGCACCGCTGTGGTTGGAGCTGCCACTTGTGTGCGCTGGGGATGGCTTTCTTTAGGTTGTCCCACGACATGATGGATATGGGGGATCCCGTGTCGATCTCCATCTGGCACTCACGTCCCTCGATCTCGACCGCAGTGTAGGTCTTTTCCCCGGGAGAAGTGCAGGTCTGGCCGATGCAGATAGTGTAGGCCTCGCCGTCTTCAAGTTTCACGCCCTTCCGGCTTCCACCATTTTTATTGGGCCTCCGGCAAAGCGCTGTCTTGGATTGGCTGGATTGGCCTTGTGATTTGTAGCCTTGTGCCTGCTTGGCCCTGCAGACTCGAGCGATGTGGCCCTTTTTCTCGCAGAAACGGCAGATCGCATCCCGGAACTTACAGTTGTGTCGGGAGTGGGGTCCTCCGCAACTGGCGCAGTCATCCATGGGTCCCCATCAGTCCGGCCTGGACTGCTCTGTGTGGTAGATCTCCTCCTCGAACTCCCCTTCACTCTCGGTGCTTACGGCTTCACGGTGCACGGTCGCCGACCTCCACGCTGTCCGGCCATGATGGTCCCTTGCAGTCTCTCAGCGGCCCTTATGGATGACTCTTGGGCTCTTGCTTCATCTAGTGTGATATGCAGGGTCAGGTTCAATCTTGCAAGTAGTCTCCTTTGTAGCCGGCCATCCCTCACTCCACAAATTAGTTGCTCTAGGAGCATTTCATCCAAGTCTCGGTACTCACACTGGTTTGTGGCCTTATGTAGGGCAGCGATGTACTCGCTGATCGACTCCCTGTCCTTCTGCAGCCTTTGCCAGAACTCGTACCGCTGGACGTACTTCGAAGGTGTTGGGGCATAGTGGTCTTTCAGCAGGGTCTGCAGCGTTGACCATGATATGGTGTGGACCGAATTTGGCTCTGTTAAAGCTTCAGCCATATCGAACACCCATGGTCCACAGTGGCTCAGGAACAGGGCCTTCTTCCGAACGTCCGGTAGTCCTTGCAGGTCGTTGGCCACCATGAAGCACTCGAACCGGGACATGTAGGATCCCCACTTTTCTTCCTTGGGGTTGAAAGGCGCTGGCAGTGTGTAGGCAGACATAGTTTCATGATTCTCCGGTGCTCCGCTCGCTCGCCTGGCTGGATTCTGGATTTGGGCATTCCGCTTCTCTCTCGGCTCGTGGCTTCAGCTCTTTCTGTGGCCTCAGCTCTTTTTCAGCTGTGGCTTCAGCTCTTTCCTTGGCTTCTGGCCTCAAATCCCACCTTCATCGCCAATGTTAAATTGGGTGAATGAGGACGCAGCAAGCCAGGCAGTGAGTGACAACAGCTCTTTATTGTAGGGTGAGAACCCAGCAACTGACCTAGGGAAACAGCTCCCTTTATATACTTGCAGCTGTGGTGGTCAGCCAATCAGCTGATGGTCAGTTAGTTTAAACTTCCCGCCAAGAAAACCTATTTACATAACATCTACTTCTGCATTTTCATTTCAGCATGATACCAAAATATGCCCAGCATCCTCTTTCTATGTACTTTGCAGTTGATGAGGTCAACAAGAATGCCAAGTTGTTCCCCAACATCACAATAACAGTGGAGATGTATGAAAACAATTTCAATGCCTGGAGGGCCAGTAAGCATGTTTTATATATTCTGTTTCTCAATCAAGGGAGTCCTATCAACTTCAACTGTGTCAGAAGAAGGAATCTGAACTTCTTGCCTATCCTTGGTGACCTCACCTCCCTCAATTCCATCCAGATGGCCCACATGTTGAACATCTACAAGTTTCCACAGGTGTGACCATTTTTCATAGCTCATCTTGTTAAAAGAAAAACTCATTTTTTTAAATAAACCCTAGTGTTGGGAGGAAAATGCTCCCCATTAGGATTCTTCCCGCCAGGATGCACTTTGAAGAAATAATTGAATAATGAAGCAGAGCTGCAGGAAAGAAGCTTTTAATGACAAGGAACTAAGATGAGTGACATGCAGCAAGGCTTCTTGGCTAGCTAGAGTTTGGGTCAAAAATTGGTTTTTGGTTCCATTTAAGTTGTGTTTGGTGATGTTTAATCATGTGTTTATTAATGGGACAATTTTCCCTATTTGTTTGGAAGGAAGGAGGTTAATCTCTGTTCCTGAAAGGAAGCAGGGTTGAGAAATCTAATTCCTGTGTCTATTTCTTCTGGTAATTGGTCTAACAAGCAATAGCTACTGTGTTTGCTCTTTTGCTACATACTAATGCTAATTGAATTTTTTGTAGCTATGCTTATCTCAAGTGTTTATACTTGAGCTTGCCTGGGGTGTGAGCTCTGACAATGAGCTAGACAGGGCTTTTCTTTTCTTGTGTAAATGGTTATGATTTAATTATTTGAATTGTGTTTGGATTATTTGCTGCCTCACGGTTTCTTCTTCTATCTGGGGAGGGCGGTCTTCCTTCACTAGCTTCTTTCAATTTTAACCAGGCTATCATTTCCCAGAATCTACTATCATGAAGCTTATGATCTCCTTACATGTAACACTTGATGGCAACTTTTGGGTTGTTACAATAAAGTCATAATGTCACAGTAAAATCCATTATTCTATGGAGAATGGAAAAGCTCTGTGCTCTTCATGGGTCATAAAACCACTCTCAATTTAATTTTCTATGCATCATTTTCCCCAACAGCTCAATTATGGTTCCTTTGACCCAGTCCTGAGTGACAAAAGGCAGTTCCCTTCCTTCTTTAGCATGGTTCCCAATGAAAATTTGCAATACGAAGGGATTGTTCATTTACTAAAACATTTTGGATGGAACTGGATTGGCCTCTTGGTCTCAGAGGATGAGAGGGGGAAAGTATTTTTTCGACATCTCCAACCAAGGCTCTTCCAGAGTGATATTTGCATTGCTTGGATAGCATTGATCCCCATTTTAAGAGATGCACTCTTAAATAAAGATCTCTTTCAAGAACGCAGAGACAAAATATTAGACATTATCTTACAGAAGAATGTCACTGTATTCCTTGCTTCTGGGGCTGTCCAATCTATGGAGATTTTACAATGGGCGCTTTATTCTCGTGAAGTTTACCAAAAGAACCCAATAGATCACAGAGTATGGATCATGACTTACCAGTGGGATTTCACTGTGAGTTTATCATCAAAAGGGAGCCTCCTAGTTCAGACTTTCAACGGCTCCCTATACTTCTCACTCCATACAAGGACTGTGCCAGGATTTCAGGACTTTCTTGAGAGAATAAAACCTTTTCTGCATCCCTTTCGTCATCTTACTTGGTTCTGGGAATCTGTGTTTCGTTGTTCACTACCTCCATATGAGAAAGGAGTTAAACGCTGCACTGGGAGGGAAAAACTCAAGAAAGTCTCTAGCTCTGTGTTTGAAATGACCATGTCTGGAGAGAGCTACAATACCTACAATGGGGTTTATCTTGCAGCACATATCATGCAAGCAATGCATTCAAAAAGAGCAAAGCCAGCTCCTCTGAGAAATCAGGATGGATCAAATCTTAGGCATTTTCAGCCATGGGAGGTATGTCATTGCTTTTCTCAGATACATGTATGGAAGCCCTGAAGGGGATGGGAAGGAAATCAGCAATACCATGAATGCCATGAAACTTAATTTTATCTGTTAATATATTCCAGTAGAATCAATAAATATTAGGAAATTGTTGGAACTGATATTACTGTAATTTAAAATTGGCTGTGGTGCATGGATTGAAGAGATTTCTGAATCAAACCAGAAAGCAATTCTGATGAGATTCACTAAAGAAATTGTGTTGGAATTCTGAACAAAGCCAAACTTTGGGGAAGATTTGGATAACTGATCTGACTTCTCCACTCTCTCAAATCCAGCTTCACTACTTTCTGAGAAACACTCGTTTTAATAACAGTGTGGAAGAAGAAATCTTTTTTAATGAGAAAGGGGAGTTTGACCCGGGATATGACATCTTCAACTTTGTCTCCTTCCACAATCAATCCTTCCAGAGAGTCCATATCGGAAAGATGGTCTCCAAACCTCTTGATGGGAATATATTCACCATTAATGAAAATGCCATTGTGTGGAATCACAAATTTCAGAAGGTGGGGTGTTTGGCATACTCTAACTTGGTAGACTATTATTTGGAGGTGAAGATATTCTTCTCCAATGACCTGAAATTCCAGAAGCAAAGGACGGTGATGGTATTCTGGAATCTGGTGGTTCTGCTAGCTTTTTGGGATGGTCTTTATGAAGACCTCTACATACCGAGAAGAGCAACAAAAAATATTAGGGGACTGAAGGCTAAAATATATGAAGAATGGTTGCAGGAACTGGATATGTCTTAGTAAAAAGAAGAGTGAAGGGTGATATGGTAGCAGTGTTCCAAAATCTAAGGAGCCATGACAAAGAAGAGAGGGTCAATCTGTTCTCCAAAGTAACTGAAGGCAGAACAAGAAGCTATGGATGGAAACTAAGGAAGGAGAGAGGCAGCCTACACTAAGAAAAAATTTCGTGACAATGAGAGCAATTAATTTTTGTAACAACTTGCCTCCAGAAGTTGTGGGTGCTCCAACACTGGAGGTTTTAAGGAAATATGGCACAACCATTTCTTTAAAATGGGATAGGGTTTCCTGCTTGAGCACGGGGTTGGAGTAGAAGACCTCCAAGATCCCTTCCAACTCCGTTATGGAACTGAGTTGCATTTTGAAATTAATATGAAATAAGAATATTTATGCATGTGTCCTTTTGTTTGATTTAGTTTGCTCGACAGGCTACTAATTTCTTAAAAGACAATAGATATGCATTTTTTGTAATGAACAGAATTTTGCATTTTCCCAATTTAATATTTAATATTGGGTATTGCTGTTATGAATGGAGTAAAAAGAGGATACTTTTTGAAAGGAGAAAAGGTTTATTATAAATGTCTGTACTCCTATGGAGCCCCTTTTAGAGAAATCTCTACATACAAATGATATTTGATGGAATTTAGTCAGGACTCCCAGAAAGGAAGTGTTTTTTCCAGAAGACAAAGTCGCAGTTGAATATGGAGCGTTCGATTGATATCTATAGTGATGCTAAACAATTCTTTGATTTTGTTAAGATTTCTATCTACAGGTGAGGACTGCTCAGAAGAAAGTCCATATGTCTTTCTTGATTTTGGGTCCTGGCAGATAAAAAGGAACACCAAGGGTATTCCAATCCTACAAAATGAAAATGGATGACATTTCCTACAGAATGAAATTCTTCGTTTTGTTCTAGATTGCACGTTGCAAAACCTCTCTGATCTGATCTGATTTCTAGTAGGATTGAAATATTTTAGATGTCTCCCACCAGGGACCCCCTTGCTCTCAACTATCTCTTTTTGTTTTTTTTATAAATATGTTTGCAGAAAAGTCAGAACTCATCCTAGGAATAGAAGGATTTGATGTAAATATGGGCACTCTCCCAAAGCATCCTGGGACATGTTGACATCAGAAGATTATGCATCTCCCTGAAAGTACCCAGTTCTCCTAATAAAAAGGAGGACTTGCACAACATCTTGGTGAATCTCATTCCTAAACCTTTTCATTTTTCTTTCAGGTACCTCCCCATGCCAGATGTGTAGAGAGCTGCCGTCAGGGATACAGCAGAGTTGTTCAGGAGGGAAAACATATTTGTTGCTACAATTGTAGACAATGTTCTGAAGGAAGAATTTCAGTTGAAACAGGTAAGTAAAAAAAAGTGACAGCTAAGAGTTGAGAGCTTCCAAACTCATCTTTTCTTCATTCTTTCCATCTTTGATATGCTATTTAGAGGAATGGAATTGGGGTAACCTTTGGTAGATTTCTTTTTCAAAGATGGGTCTAATTTAAACACTTTTATAAATCCATTCTATTCTGATCTCTTTTCTTAGTTTTAGAGTTGCAATTCTGTTCAGAGTCCTCCACCACTAATAGTGCAGTTCAAAGGAATATATATGCATAAATAACAGACCAGAATCCGTACACTTTTTAAGAAAGCATTATTATATGTCAAGGGGATTGTGAATGGCATCCCCAGCAATGATCTCTCTCAATTAGCTCTATAGATTGTCCTATATAGTTGGAAGTGACTTGTTCTTCTTCATGTATTTCAGATGCTAACCAATGTGAGAGATGCCCAGCGGATCAGTATTCGAATGCAGAAAAGATCCAGTGCCTTCCCAAACGTTTCAGCTATTTATCCTATGGTGAACCCTTGGGAATCGTTTTGATTTCCTTGATCCTTTTCTTTTCATTAGTTGTCATTTTGGTGGGACTGGCTTTCATTCTGCACTGGGACACCCCCATTGTCAAAGCCAACAACAGGAACATCACATGCATCCTTCTTTCCTCTCTCCTGCTTTGTTTTCTGTGCTCTCTGCTCTTCATAGGTCGGCCTGGGAAGGTGACTTGCTTTCTCAGGCAAATTATGTTTGGCACCATTTTCTCTCTCTCGGTTTCTTGTGTCTTGGCCAAGACCATCACGGTTGTTTTGGTCTTCCTGGCCACTAAGCCAGGAAACCAGATGACGAAATGGCTAGGAAATAGACTGGCAGGATCCATCATTGTCTTCTGCTCATGTATTCAAGCTGTTATTTGCATGATATGGTTGATCATGTCTACTCCCTTCCCTGAGTGGGACACGCATTCAGAGATTGAAGAGATCATTGTTCAATGTAATGAAGGCTCAGATGCCATGTTTTACATTGTCCTGGGCTACTTGGGGCTCCTGGCCACCATCAGTTTCACTGTGGCTTTCTTTGCCAGAAAACTGCCTGATACTTTTAATGAAGCCAAGCTGATCACCTTCAGCATGCTTGTGTTCTGTAGCATTTGGGTGTCCTTCATCCCAGCCTATCTGAGCACCAAGGGAAAATACATGGTGGCTGTGGAGATCTTCTCCATCTTGGGCTCTACTGCAGGTCTCCTGGGTTGCATCTTCCTGCCCAAATGCTACATCATTCTCTTGAACCCACATCTGAACACAAAACAGCATCTAACCAGGAGGACAGATTAACAATGAATAATTCTGTAATTCAGCCTTTACCTGGTTACCAAAAAAATTCATGGGAAAAGTCCAAATATTCAAGCTCGCAAACTTCATCATGCAATTCAATGCTATTTCTTTTCGTTATGTATGTAACATATATAATCAATTTCTAAGGCTTTATCTGAGCTGTAGAACAGTTAAATAGTGAAATCCTATACTGTAATTTTTTGGCATTTTTCTGGTGATCGTGAGTAATCTTAGGGGTGATCTGAAATATTGAAGAAAGCCATGAATATGTAATTGAAGCTTTCCCTTTAAGGAAGTGTGCCTGTTCCATTACTGGCTTGCCTTATGAAACACTCTGCCCCTAATCTTTGGCAGACTTCTTCCGTCCTAGCCTTCCATGCAGCTTTGAAGACCTGGCTTTTCCACCAAGTGCTGGGTCAGATTAGCTGGCTGGGTATTTGTTGTTTTTAATATTTTGATTTATTTCCTTTTATAGTTTAAATATTATTTTATAGGTTGTTTTAACTTTTGATTGGGAACCACCATCCAGATTTGGTTAGAAGATGGTTAGCTGTATAAATGTTTGAAAATAAATAAATAAATAAACAAATAAATAGTACCATGATTGCATTGGAATTTTTTGATACTATGGAGAGAATAAGGGTATTTTGGGAAATGCATGGTTGTTGTTAACATGAGAGAACCTCTTTGGTTTCCAAGATGTCAAGTAGCTTTATTGAAAATTTTATTCATTGGCCCCATTTTCTACCCCTCATTTTATCAAGATGAGAAGTCACACCTGGCTCTTCTGTTGTGGAAATTGGGTGATTTTAGCTCTTCTGGAGGTGGGATACCTATAGAAATATATATATTGTCAGAATTTGTTGCAAAAATCAAATCCAGAAAGCACACACAGATAACTGATTCTTCAGGATTCATTAACTTTTATTTATATACATAATAACACATGAATAAATGTACAATACCAACAGCAGATTCTTCCAACGTGGTAGCAGTTACAAGCAAATCACAAGCAGAGTACAGCAGACAGACTAGTTTCAGTTTTAATTTTCAACATAGCACACAGAGCTAAGCCACGCCCAGACTCCAAACTGTTTCAGCTCCCATTGGCTGTTTTAGTTGCTATGCCAATTCATTGGCTGACCTTGTTATCATGTCTTCCCAGTCATGAATATTCTGCAATATATTAGGTTTTTATGTTGATATATATTTATTAGCTTGTTACCTTATATGTTTTATATGAAATGAAAGCTGTTCAGATTAGCGTAGGAATAGTATTGAAAATGCAATGAATTAACTCACAAAAATTAGAATTTTTCCAATGAGGAGAGGATTTACATTCAACGGCTCCACAGTTTCTTTCAAAGTAAATTTCTCTATTTCCCTACCTTTACATTCCCAAATACTGTTTTTCTCTGCCTTACTCAGGTCCTCCCAGAGCTTTGCATAAGGGCCACTTTCCTGAGACTGCTTTTACTATTGGACAAATCTTAGTAAACAATGCGAGAAATTCAAACGAAGCACCCATAGGCACAGACACTCCTACAAGGGAATCATAATCTGAATAGGCAAAAAATCTGAAAATTTTCTAGCAATTTAACTTGATGCATTTTCTCCTTTCCTGGTATCCAGATACGCTCCAAACTGACTTTTCTGCTTTTTTTTTTTTTTTTCCTTCAAGCAGAGATTGGCTGGAGAGAAGTCTGTGTTTTGTCCTGGCTATTTTATTATCCCACCTGTTCCTTTTATATAAAACTCAAGGCTTCAAACATACTGAATACTCCATCCAACATATGTTTTACAGAAAAAATAAGTCTGTGAGATGAGTTGGTCAAGACTGAGAAATATTGAAATCTGAGAAATAAGTCAGATTTGGTCAACCTCACTCTATACTGAATTTGTTTGAGAATTAGCAGTAGCCCATCACACAAATTGAATGAAGGAACAAATCTTGTAAATTCTGATATTAAGGGGAGAAGAAAAATACCTTTAATAGTACTTTTCTGGTATTGTATAAGCTCATCTTCAAGATATGTATGCTTTTAAAATGACATTTATGCAGAGAAAAGCTTTAGTAAATCTTTGGAACTAGAAATTCCATACATTTGAAAGAAAAAAATACCCATAATTTTGTCAGAATAACATTAGAATGAGAATTTTTTAAAAAATTTGATTTATATACCGCCCTTCTCCGGAGACTCAGGGCAGCTTACAATGTGCTAAGCAATAGCCTTCATCCTTTTTGTATATTTATACAAAGTCAGCTTATTGCCCCCACAAACTGGGTCCTCAATTTACCTACCTTAGAAAGGATGGAAGGCTGAGTCAATCTTGAACCTGGAGAGATTCAAACCTGCAGTAATTGCAGGCAGCTGGTCTTAATAACAGGGTGCTTTAGACCACTGTACTACCAAGGCATATTAATGACAGTTGCAGTGATCTAAGATCTAAGATCATGTGATCATTTCTTGCAACATTCTGACAACTGACAACAAGTCCATGAAGAAGCCAGTTTTACTTCACCACTGGGTCATTAACTTATCAACTGCAGTGCTTCACTTAACAACTGAGGCAAGAAAAGTCATAAAATGGGGCAAAACTCAATGAAAAAATGACTCAGAAATTTTGGGCTCAACTGCAGTCATAAGTTGAGGATTGATTTATTTTGCCTGTTTTCATTTTAGGGAAGACAGTGGACTATTATAGTTTTTCTCTGTATATTACCTGTATTTTTCAGACTATAAGATGCACGGGAGTATAAGACGCACCTAAATTTTGAAGAGGAAAACAAGAAGAAAAATTTTGGCCTCTGTGCATCTGGTTTTTGCCCTCCCCAGCCCCCAGGAGCAGTCTGCAGGCCTCCCAAACCCTCTGTGCATCCAGTTTTTGCCAAAAACGTGCGTGGGAATGTTTCAGGAGGCCAAAAACAGACCCATATTTGGTCTATAAATCACACCAACATTTCCACCCACTTTTTTTGTGATGGAGAAGTGTGTCTTATAGTCTGAAAAATACGGTAAATTAATCACATTTTCAAGATCACATCTTTCTTTCAACCCCTTGTAGTAAAGCTTTCTGTGATATAACAAGTTGGCATCCATGTGAGAGATAATGTAGATTGATGTAGGTAATGCAATTCTCCAAAGCAAAAGTTTCTGAAACTTTTCTGTGTATAAGGTCAAGGTAAGAACAAAGAAGATTGCGAAGCAAGAGAAAGAAAATGGCACTTGCTATGGGAAACTAATTGTAACTCTTACAGTATCCATGTACACATTTTAGACAAACACAATTTGCCTAAATCACCAGGGAATAAAGGTTATAATTTTCCCTCTGATTTTCCAATAACTGCATTTCAGTTCTGTTTCTTGACAGCATCACACCTGAACAAGGATGGCAAGGAGAAAAACATTCAGAAATTCCTGCTGCACTTTGAAAGATCCCTCAAAATTTATCTTGGGCCATTGAAATCACAGTCAAGGAAACCGCTCTCATTTATCTTTACTTTTAATTTGTGATGAATATATCATTTTTTCTTTATGTACGCTGAGAGCATATGCACCAAAGACAAATTCCTTGTGTGACCAATCACACTTGGACAATAAAAATTCTATTCTTTATATATCTTCCTCCTTTTCAGTGGATGTTTCCCATTAGGTCTAACCAAGGCAATTTATTTTTTGCAAACTTGACTGCTCTATTTTGTTGACCATGTATTTGGAAGGATGGAAGGATGGCTCAAGTCTTCTTTCATTTAACCTTGTTCTGCTCTTCTTGCTTCCTGCCAGTGTCAGTAAGAGTTTGAAATCCATCTGCCTCCAGCCCAATAATGTTCCAAGGAAATTTTCCAACTCTGGAGCTAAAACAATACTTGGAGGATTTTTTTCCTTTATAAATCCCGATGAACGTACACAGAGTTTCAAAAAAATGCCAGTAATTTCTGAATATGGAATGTAAGTGCCTCAAACTTCTTTGAATAAAATGCAATGTAACTTCAGACAAGGGTGATAGAATGTAGAGAAAAGGAAATTATTCTGGTTCAATAATGACACTGCTAGTTTGGCTGTCATATTTACAGATGTTAGACATGTTGAGCAGGGCTTCCATTGAGAGATGGCCCTTAGGAAAACATGCATGTGGGACTTTCATATGTTACAACGAACCCTCTTAGAGATCTAGAAATCTAAAGATGCATTTTAAGGTAAACTTGGATTTTTTTTAAAAAAAAAATTTGATTTATATGCCGCCCTTCTCCGAAGACTCAGGGCGGCTTACAATGTGCTCAGCATTAGCCTTCATCCTTTTGTATATTTATACAAAGTCAGCTTATTGCCCCCACAAACTGGGTCCTCATTTAACCTACCTTAGAAAGGATGGAAGGCTGAGTCAACCTTGAGCCTTGGCGAGATTCGAACCAGCAGTAAATTGCAGGCAGCTGTGTTAATAACAGGGTGCTTTAAACCACTGTAGTACCAAGGCTCTTGGTGCTTGAAACAAATGCTCCAAGATTATTCCTCTCTACATTTCAAAAATGGACATATCACTGAGTTCATGGGAAACAGGGTCATTTCCACTCATAATGTTTCCATTCAGCAAATACTGGGAGCTTTTAACAGCACTTTATCAAGGGAATTCAATTCCAAGTGGCTCCTTTCTGAGAAACTGCAATTCACATCATTCTTATGAAGGTGTTTATTAGCCGATGCCATTGGATGAAGAAAAGATGACAAGATTCAAAAGAACAGTGCGAATATTTATTTCCATCTTAAACATTGATGGAAATATATTGATGTCAATGTTGCATGTAAACGTTTAGAGCAGTTCTAGGAAGATCTAGAAGATAATTGATCATTTTATACAATCTTCAATGTACCTTTCCTATGAAAGAAGGAAGCTCCAGCAAATCAGCAAACTATGAACTAAAAGTTTGGTTTATGGACCTGATCATAAAATTTACTGCACAAGATTAACATATATCCACTCAATCATAAGGTTGATTTGCTCATGTTCTTAGACTTTCAAAGAAAATGGATTCTCGGCTGTCCTTGGACAATCATCTGATGGCCGTAACCAGGGGGGCCTTTGCACAGGTGCGTCTTGTGTGCCAGTTACGCCCTTTTCTAGACCGGGATGCCCTTGCCACGGTCACTCACGCCCTTGTTACCTCTAGGTTGGACTACTGTAACACCCTCTACATGGGGCTGCCCTTGGGATGCGTCCAGAGGCTCCAGCTAGTCCAGAATGTAGCCGCGCGGGTAATTATGGGGGCATCTCGATACTCCCGTGTAACACCTCTCCTGCGTGAGCTGCACTGGCTGCCGGTGGCTTTCCGGATTCGTTTCATGGTGCTGGTGCTTACCTATAAAGCCATTCATGGCTTAGGCCCGGAGTACTTGCAGGACCATCTTCTGCCGCTCTTCCATCGTCCCGTGCGCTCTCACAGAGTGGGCCTCCTCAGGCTGCCGTCGGCCAAACAATGTCGGCTGACGGCCCCCAGGAGGAGAGCATTCTCTGTGGGGGCCCTGACTCTCTGGAATGGATTGCCCACCGAGCACAGGACAGCCCCCGACCACCTTTCCTTCCATTGCGAGCTGAAAACGTGGCTCTTCCGTCAACTCAACTGAACTGTCGGGTGTACACTGTAATAATTTTAAACCGTTTTAATTGGGGTGTTGATTTTAATTTTTACCTTGTTGTGATTTGTATGGGAAACTGTTATTTTGTAAGCCGCCTTGAGTCCCTTGGGAGAAAGGCAGCATATAAATCACAATAATAAATAAATAAATAAATAAATAAATAAATAAATAAATAAATAATAAACAAATGTATCTCAAAATACACCACAATAGCAATGGGGTTTTTTATTTACCCAGACATTAACTGGGAGACAAACTCAGAAACAAGGGGGAAATCGAACAGGTCCCCTACCAACTCAACTGACAACTTTGTCACTCAAAAAGTAGAGGAGTCAGCAAGAGGGGCAGCTACCCTAGATTTTATTCTATGATCTGTTCTAAAGAGGAACATCACTTTCTCTGTTAGGAAAACGTCTTCCAGTCAACCTCTCCAAAATTCTTGCCTAGAGTTCTAGAACAGGTCTTGCTAATCAGTGATTGTGGAGATGGTCAGAATAATGTGCAATGCCAAAAGTCTCTTTCATTGAAATTCAAAATTAATCTCTATGGAATAAATTTCAGAAATTATCTTTGAAGTTTAGAACTAGATTTAGACATTTTTTTTGGTGATATGATTTTCTCTACTTCTGCATTTTCATTTCAGCATGATACCAAAATATGCCCAGCATCCTCTTTCTATGTACTTTGCTGTTGATGAGGTCAACAAGAATGCCAAGCTTTTCCCCAACATCACAATAACAGTGGAGATGTATGAAAACAATTTCAATGCCTGGAGGGCCAGTAAGCATGTTTTATATATTCTGTTTCTCAATCAAGGGAGTCCTATCAACTTCAACTGTGTCAGAAGAAGGAATCTGAACTTCTTGCCTATCCTTGGTGACCTCACCTCCCTCAATTCCATCCAGATGGCCCACATGTTGAACATCTACAAGTTTCCACAGGTGTGACCATTTTCCATAGCTCATCTTGTTAAAAGAAAAACTCATTTTTTTTAATAAATCTTAGTGTTGGGAGGAAAATGCTCCCCATTAGGATTCTTCCCGCCAGGATGCACTTTGAAGAAATAATTGAATAATGAAGCAGAGCTGCAGGAAAGAAGCTTTTAATGACAAGGAACTAAGATGAGTGACATGCAGCAAGGCTTCTTGGCTAGCTAGAGTTTGGGTCAAAAATTGGTTTTTGGTTCCATTTAAGTTGTGCTTGGTGATGTTTAATCCTGTGTTTATTGATGGGATAATTTTCCCTATTTGTTTGGAAGGAAGGAGGTTAATCTCTGTTCCTGAAAGGAAGCAGGGTTGAGAAATCTAATTCCTGTGTCTATTTCTTCTGGTAATTGGTCTAACAAGCAATAGCTACTGTGTTTGCTCTTTTGCTACATACTAACGCTAATTGAATTTTTTGTAGCTATGCTTATCTCAAGTGTTTATACTTGAGCTTGCCTGGGGTGTGAGCTCTGACAATGAGCTAGACAGGGCTTTTCTTTCCTTGTGTAAATGGTTGTGATTTAATTATTTGAATTGTGTTTGGATTATTTGCTGCCTCACGGTTTCTTCTTCTATCTGGGGAGGGCAGTCTTCCTTCACTAGCTTCTTTCAATTTTAACCAGGCTATCATTTCCCAGTTCTGAGTTCCCAGAATCTACTATCATGAAGCTTATGATCTCCTTACATGTAACACTTGATGGCAACTTTTGGGACGTTACAATAAAGTCATAATGTCACAGTAAAATCCATTATTCTATGGAGAATGGAAAAGCTCTGTGCTCTTCATGGATCACAAAACCACCCTCAATTTAATTTTCTATGCATCATTTTTCCCAACAGCTCAATTATGGTTCCTTTGACCCAGTCCTGAGTGACAAAAGGCAGTTCCCTTCCTTCTTTAGCATGGTTCCCAATGAAAATTTGCAATACGAAGGGATTGTTCATTTACTAAAACATTTTGGATGGAACTGGATTGGCCTCTTGGTCTCAGAGGATGATAGGGGGAAAGTTTTTTTTCAACATCTCCAACCAAGGCTCTTCCAGAGTGATATTTGCATTGCTTGGATAGCATTGATCCCCATTTTAAGAGATGCACTCTTAAATAAAGATCTCTTTCAAGAACGCAGAGACAAAATATTAGACATTATCTTACAGAAGAATGTCACTGTATTCCTTGCTTCTGGGACTGTCCAATCTATGGAGATTTTACAATGGGCGCTTTATTCTCGTGAAGTTTACCAAAGGAACCCAATAGATCACAGAGTATGGATCATGACCTACCAGTGGGATTTCAGTGTAATTTTATCATTAAAAGGGAGCCTCCTAGTTCAGACTTTCAACGGCTCCCTATACTTCTCACTCCATACAAGGACTGTGCCAGGATTTCAGGAGTTTCTTGAGAGAATAAAACCTTTTCTGCATCCCTTTCATCATCTTAGTTGGTTCTGGGAGTCTGTGTTTCTTTGTTCACTGCCTCCATATGAGAAAGGAGTTAAACGCTGCACTGGGAGGGAAAAACTCAAGAAAGTCTCTGGCTCTGTGTTTGAAATGACCATGTCTGGAGAGAGCTACAATACCTACAATGGGGTTTATCTTGCAGCACATATCATGCAAGCAATGCATTCAAAAAGAGCAAAGCCAGCTCCTCTGAGAAATCAGGATGGATCAAATCTTAGGCATTTTCAGCCATGGGAGGTGTGTCATTGCTTTTCTCAGATACATGTATGGAAGCCCTGAAGGGGATGGGAAGGAAATCAGCAATACCATGAATGCCATGAATCTTAATTTTATCTGTTAATATATTCCAGTAGAATCAATAAATATTAGGAAATTGTTGGAACTGATATTACTGTAATTTAAAATTGGCTGTGGTGCATGGGTTGAAGAGATTTCTAAATCAAACCAGAAAGCAATTCTGATGAGATTCACTAAAGAAACTGTGTTGGGATTCTGAACAAAGCCAAACTTTGGGGAAGATTTGGATAACTGATCTGACTTCTCCACTCTCTCAAATACAGCTTCACTACTTTCTGAAAAACACCCGTTTTAATAACAGTGTGGGAGAAGAATTTTTTTTTGATGAGAAAGGGGAGTTTGACCTGGGATACGACATCTTCAACTTTGTCTCCTTCCACAATCAATCCTTCCAGAGAGTCCATATCGGAAAGATGGTCTCCAAACCTCTTGATGGGAAGAAGTTCACCATTAATGAAAGTGCCATTGTATGGAATCACAAGTTTCAGCAGGTGGGATATTTGGCATACTCAAACTTGGTAGACCATTATTTGGAGGTGAAGATATTCTTCTCCAATGACCTGAAATTCCAGAAGTGAAGGATGGTGATGGTATTCTGGAATCTTGTGGTTAAGCTAGCTTTTTGGGATGGTCTTTATGAAGACCTCTACATACCGAGAAGAGCAACAAAAATGATTAGGGAAAGAAGGCTAAAACATATGAAGAATGGTTGCAGGAACTGGATATGTCTTAGTAAAAAGAAGGATGAAGGGTGATATGGTAGCAGTGTTCCAAAATCTAAGAAGCCTTGACAAAGAAGAGAGGGTCAACCTGTTCTCCAAAGTAACTGAAGGCAGAACAAGAAGCTATGGATGTAAACTAAGGATGGAGAGAGGCAGCCTACACTAAGAAGAAATTTCCTGACAATTAGAACAATTAATCTTTGTAACAACTTGCCTCCAGAAGTTGTGAGTGCTCCAACACTGGAGGTTTTAAGCAAATATGGCACAGCCATTTCTCTAAAATGGGATAAGTTTTCCTGCTTGAGCACGGGGTTGGAGTAGAAGACCTCCAAGGTCCCTTCCAACTCCGTTATGGAACTGAGTTGCATTTTGAAATTAATATGAAATAAGAATATTTATGCATGTGTCCTTTTGTTTGATTTAGTTTGCTCGACAGGCTACTAATTTCTTAAAAGACAATAGATATGCATTTTTTGTAATGAACAGAAATTTGCATTTTCCCAATTTAATATTTAATATTGGGTATTGCTGTTACGAATGGAGTAAAAAGAGGATACTTTCTGAAAGGACAAAAAGGTTTATTATAGATGGCTGCACTCCTATGGAGCCCCTTTTAGAGAAATCTCTACATACAAATGATACTTGATGGAATTTAGTCAGGACTCCCAGAAAGGAGGTGTTTTTTCCAGAAGACAAAGTCGCAGTTGAATATGGAAGCTTTGATTGATATCTATAGTGATGCTAAACAAGTCCTTTATTTTGTTAAGATTTCTATCTACAGGTGAGGACTGCTCAGAAGTAAGTCCATATGTCTTTATTGATTTTGGGTCCTGGCAGATAAAAAGGAACACCAAGGGTATTTTAATCCTACAAAATGAAAATGGATGACATTTCCTACAGAATGAAATCCTTTGTTTTGTTCTAGATTGCAGGTTTAAAACCTCTCTGATCTGATCTGATTTCTAGTAGGATTGAAACATTTTAGATATCCTCCACCAGAGACTCCCATGCACTCAACTATCTCCTTTTCTTGTTCTACAAGAACAAATGAGAATTGACGTGTTTGCAGAAAACTCAGCATGCATCCTAGGAATAGAATGATTTAATATAAATATGGACACTCTCCGAAAGCATCTTGGGACATGTTGACATCAGAAGATTATGCATGTCCCTGAAAGTACCCAGTTCTCCTAATAAAAAGGAGGACTTGCACAACATCTTGATGAATCTCATTCCTAAACCTTTCCATTTTTCTTTCAGGTACCTCCCCATGCCAGATGTGTAGAGAGCTGCCGTCAGGGTTACAGCAGAGTTGTTCAGGAGGGAAAACATATTTGTTGCTACAATTGTAGACAATGTTCTGAAGGAAGAATTTCAATTGAAACAGGTAAGTAAAAAAAAGTGACAGCTAAGAGTTGAGAGCTTCCAAACTCATCTTTTCTTCATTCGTTCCATCTCTGATATGCTATTTAGAGGAATGGAATTGGGGTAACCTTTGGTAGATTTCTTTTTCAAAGATGGGTCTAATTTAAACACTTTTATAAATCCATTCTATTCTGATTTCTTTTCTTAGTTGAGAGTTGCAATTCTCTTCAGAGTCCTTCACCACTAATAGTGCAGTTCAAAGGAATATATATGAATAAATAACAGACCAGAATCCGTACACTTTTTAAGAAAGCATTATTATATGTCAAGGGGTTTGTGAATGGCATCCCCAGCAATGATCTCTCTCAATTAGCTCTATAGATTGTCCTATATAGTTGGAAGTGACTTGTTCTTCTTCATGTATTTCAGATGCTAACCAATGTGAGAGATGCCCAGCGGATCAGTATTCGAATGAAGAAAAGATCCAATGCCTTCCCAAACGTTTCAGCTATTTATCCTATGGTGAACCCTTGGGAATCGTTTTGATTTCCTTGATCCTTTTCTTTTCATTAGTTGTCATTTTGGTGGCACTGGCCTTCATTCTGCACTGGGACACCCCCATTGTCAAAGCCAACAACAGGAACATCACATGCATCCTTCTTTCCTCTCTCCTGCTTTGTTTTCTGTGCTCTCTGCTCTTCATAGGTCGGCCTGGGAAGGTGACTTGCTTTCTCAGGCAAATTATGTTTGGCATCATTTTCTCTCTCTCGGTTTCTTGTGTCTTGGCCAAGACCATCACGGTTGTTTTGGCCTTCCTGGCCACTAAGCCAGGAAACCAGATGAGGAAATGGCTAGGAAACAGACTGGCAGGATCCATCATTGTCTTCTGCTCATGTATTCAAGCTATTATCTGCATGATATGGTTGATCATGTCTCCTCCCTTCCCTGAGTGGGACATGCATTCACAGGTTCAAGAGATCATTGTTCAATGTAATGAAGGCTCAGATGCCATGTTTTACATTGTCCTGGGCTACTTGGGGCTCCTGGCCACCATCAGTTTCACTGTGGCTTTCTTTGCCAGAAAACTGCCTGATACTTTTAATGAAGCCAAGCTGATCACCTTCAGCATGCTTGTGTTCTGTAGCATTTGGGTGTCCTTCATCCCAGCCTATCTGAGCACCAAGGGGAAATACATGGTGGCTGTGGAGATCTTCTCCATCTTGGGCTCTACTGCAGGTCTCCTGGGTTGCATCTTCCTGCCCAAATGCTACATCATTCTCCTGAACCCACATCTGAACACCAAACAGCATCTAACCAGGAGGACAGATTAACAATGAATAATTCTGTAATTCAGCCTTTACCTGGTTACCAAAAACATTCATGGGAAAAGTCCAAATATTCAAGCTCGCAAACTTCATCATGCAATTCAATGCTATTTCTTTTCTTTATATATGTAACATATATAATCAATTTCTAAGGCTTTATCCGAGCTGTAGAACAGTTAAATAGTGAAATCCTATACTGTAATTTTTTGGCATTTTTCTGGTGATCGTGAGTAATCTTAGGGGTGATCTGAAATATTGAAGAAAGCCAGGAATATGTAATTGAAGCTGTCCCTTTAAGGAAGTGTGCCTGTTCCATTACAGGCTTGCCTTATGAAACACTCTGCCCCTAATCTTTGGCAGACTTCTTCCATCCTAGCCTTCCATGCAGCTTTGAAGACCTGGCTTTTCCACCAAGTGCTGGGTCAGATTAGCTGGCTGGGTATTTGTTGTTTTTAATATTTTGATTTATTTTCTTTTATAGTTTAAGTATTATTTTATAGGTTGTTTTAACTTTTGATTGGGAACCACCATCCAGAATTGGTTAGAAGATAGTTAGCTGTATAAATGTTTGAAAATAAATAAACAAATAAACAAATAAATAGTACCATAATTGCATTGGAATTTTTTGATACTATGGAGAGAATAAGGGTATTTTGGGAAATGCATGGTTGTTGTTAACATGAGAGAATCTCTTTGGTTTCCAAGATGTCAAGTAGCTCTATTGAAAATTTTATACATTGGCCCCATTTTCTACCCCTCATTTTATCAAGTTGAGAAGTCACACCTGGCTCTTCTGTGGTGGAAATGGGGTGATTTTAGTTCTTCTGGAGGTGGGATACCTATAGAAATATGTGTGTGTGTGTGTGTATATATATATATATATATATATATATGTAGGTCTTTGGTTATTCGGGTTTTCTCCCGCATAAAATTGGAGGTTTCTTGGCGACCTTTCGACGAAGTCTCATTCATCATGTTCAGGCTGGTGTTCTCGGCTTCGTGCTTCCAGGAGCAATGTGAGATCGCAGCTGTCTCTTCCTTTTAACTGCTAGTGGGGGTGTGAGCTGATTGGGTGGGAACTTGGCTGTGTTCTGATTGGGTGGAGGTGTGTTCTGATTGGTTAGGGGCTTGGCTGTGCTCTGATTGGCTGGGGGTTGGTTGTGCTCTGATTGGCTGGGGGTGTGTTCTGTTTGGGTGGGGGCTTGGTTGTGCTCAGCTTAGTCTGAGTTGCAGGGGGATTTGAGCTGGTGAGCTGCGTTGTTGTTGTTTAGCTTCGTGTTTGTGGCCGTGCGAGCTCTTCATGGTGGGTGTCAGTCTGCTTCATGTATGGATTGGAGGGGTTTAAAGTGGCTAATCAGAGCCAATCAGAGCCAATCAGAGCACAGCCAAGCCCCTAACCAATCAGAACACACCTCCACCCAATCAGAACACAGCCAAGTTCCCACCCAATCAGCTCACACCCCCACTAGCAGTTAAAAGGAAGAGACAGCTGCGATCTCACATTGCTCCTGGAAGCACGAAGCCGAGAACACCAGCCTGAAGATGATGAATGAGACTTCGTCGAAACGTCGCCAAGAAACCTCCAATTTTACGCGGGAGAAAACCCGAATAACCAAAGACCTACATACAAACACCCGCGAAAACCTCAGAAAACATATATATATATATATATATATATATATATATATATATATATATATATATATATATATATATACATACATACATACATATATATATATATTGTCAGAGTTTGTTGCAAAAATCAAATCCAGAACGCACACACAGATAACTGATTCTGCAGGATTCATTAACTTTTATATATATACATAATAACACATGATTAAATGTACAATACCAACAGCAGATTCTTCCAACGTGGTAGCAGTTACAAACAAATCACAAGCAGAGTACAACAGACAGACTAGTTTCAGTTTTAATTCTCAACATAGCACACAGAGCTAACTCCAAACTGTGCAGACTCCAAACGGTTTCAGCTCCCATTGGCTGATTTAGTTGCTATTTATTTATTTATTCATTTAATTAATTTATTCATTTGATTTATTTATTTATTTATTTGATTTATATGCCACCCTTCTCTGGAGATTCATGGTGGCTTACAATGCATTAAGCAATAGCCTTCATTCTTTTGTATATACCTGCTTAGTAGGGTTTTTTGCCCCCCCCCCCGTAAGTGGTGTTCTATTTTATACAAAGTCAGCTTATTGCCCCCACAAACCGGGTCCTCATTTTACCTACCTGGAAAGGATGGAAGCCTGAATCAACCTTGAGCCTGGTGAGAATTGAACTCGCAGTAATTGCAGGCAGCTGGCAGCTAAGTGCTACTTTAACAGCAGCAGTTTAGTCTGCTGCGCCACCAGGCTCTTTCAAATTCATTGGTTATGCCAATTCATTGGCTGACCTTGTTGTCATGTCTTTCCAGTCATGAATATTCTGACATATATTAGGTTTTTATGTTGATATATATTTATTAGCTTGTTACCTTATATATTTTATATGAAATGAAAGCTGCTCAGATTATTTTAGAAATAGTATTGAAAATGCAATGAATTAACTAACAAAAACTCCTACAAGGGAGTCATAATCTGAATAGGAAAAAATTGTGGAAATTTTCTAGCAATTTAGCTTGATGCTTCTTCTCCTTTCCTGGTATCCATATACGCTCCAAGCTGACTTTTCTGCTTTGGTATTTTTCTTCAAGCACAGATTGGCTGGAGAGAAGTCTGTGTTTTGTCCTGGCTATTTTATTATCCCACCTGTTCCTTTTATATAAAACTCAAGGCTTCAAACATACTGAATACTCCATCCAACATATGTTTTACAGAAAATAATAAGTCTGTGAGATGAGTTGAATCAAGACTGACAAATATTGAAATCTGAGAAATAAATCAGATTTGGTCAACCTCACTCTATACTGAATTTGTTTGAGAATTACATGATTAGCAGTAGCCCATCACACAAATTGAATGAAGGAACAAAGTGTTGTAAATTCTGATATTAAGGGGAGAAGAAAAATACCTTTAATAGTACTTTTCTGGTATTGTATAAGCTCATCTCCAAGATATGTATGCTTTTAAAATGACATTTATGCAGAGAAAAGCTTTAGTAAATCTTTGGAACTAGAAATTCCATACATTTGAAAGAAAAAAATACCCATAATTTTGTCAGAATAACATTAGAATGAGTCTTCTTGAAAATGCAGGTAAAACGTTTGACCTTGTTTCTTTTTTTTTTCTTTTTTGCAGTTATTCTTTTTTTAAGATCATTTGGTGTTAGTTTTTAACTTTTTTGTTTAAAATCCCAATAAATGTGTATTTGAAAAAACGTTTTAAAAAAACACTCACAGAAGGGCAAAATACGGCTCGTACAATTTTTTTAATTGCAAACCCAATTTAGCATTTCTAAGCATTCCCAGTTGCAATCGGCAATAACAGAATATAGCAATTTTCAAGATAACATTTACAGATACAGATTAACAGAGTTGGAAGGGACCTTGTAGGTCATCTAGTCCAACCCCCACCTCCCAGCCCAAGCAGGAGGCCCTACACCATTTCTGACAAATGGCAGTCCAATCTCTTCTTGAAAACTTCCACTGATGAAGCTCCCACAATTTCCAAAGGCAACTTCTGTTCCAATAGTGCAGTGGTTCTCAACCTTCCTAATGCTGCGACCCTTTAATACAGTTCCTCATCTTGTGGTGACCCCCAACCATAAAATTATTGCTAAAACTATTAAAAATATGTGTTTTCTGATGGTTTTACGCGACCCCTGTGAAAGTGTCATTCGACCCCCAAAGGGGTCCCAACCCACAGGTTGGGAACCATTGCATTAGTGGATTGTTCTCAGTGTCAGAAAATTTCCCCTTATTTCTAGGTTGAATCTCTCCTTGATCTGCTTCCATCCATTATTCCTTGTCCGGCCTTTATATCTGAGATTCTTTTTTACCACTATACCTAGATTATAAATTTGAAGCTAAAGCTGCTAATCGTGTGGATTTCTATTTCTTCTTGGTTTCGCTGAAATATGATGAGCCAATAAGGAAAACATTTGTAGCTCAGGGTTGAAATGATTCAACCTTGATAGGTGATTGATAGATGATTGGATGGATTATTTGAAGACATGGAAAGTATTACAGATAGTCCTTGACTTACAACACTTTGTTTAGTGACCATTGTCAGTTACAACAGCACTGAAAAAACTGATTTATGACCGTTTTTCAAAGTTATGCAGAATCCCCTTGATCATGTGATCAAAATTCATATGCTTGGCAATTGGTTCATATTAATGATGGTTGCAGTGATCTCAGGTCATATGATCATTTTTTGCGACATTCTGACAACTGACAACAAGTCCATGAAGAAGCCAGTTTTACTTAACCACTGGGTTATTAACTTATCAACTGCAGTGCTTCACTTAACAACTGAGGCAAGAAAGGTCATAAATTGGTGCAAAACTCAATGAAAAAATGACACAGAAATTTTGGGCTCAACTGCAGTCATAAGTTGAGGATTGATTTATTTTGCCTGTTTTCATTTTAGGGAAGACAGTGGACTATTATAGTTTTTCTCTGTATATTACCTGTATTCTTTCAGACTATAAGATGCACGGGAGTATAAGATGCACCTAAATTTTGAAGAGGAAAAAAAGAAAAAAAATTTTGGCCTCTGTGCATCTGGTTTTTCCCCTCCCCAGCCCCCAGGAGCACTCTGCAGGCCTCCCAAACCCTCTGTGCATCCTGCTTTTGCCAAAAACATGCATGGGGGTATTTCAGGAGGGCAAAAACAGACCCATATTTAGTCTATAAATCGCACCAACATTTCCACCCACTTTTTTTGTGATGGAAAAGTGTGTCTTATAGTCTGAAAAATACGGTAAATTAATCACATTTTCAAGATCCCATCTTTCTTTCAACCCCTTGTAGTAAAGCTTTCTGTGATATAACAAGTTGGCATCCATGTGAGAGATAATGTAGATTGATGTAGGTAATGCAATTCTCCAAAGCAAAAGTTTCTGAAACTTTTCTGTGTATAAAGTAAAGGTAAGAACAAAGATGATTGCAAGGCAAGAGAAAGAAAATGGCACTTGCTATGGGAAACTAATTGTAACTCTTACAGTATCCAGGTACAGATTTTACACAAACACAATTTGCCTAAATTGCTAGGGAATAAAGGTTATAATTTCCCCTCTGATTTGCCAATGACTGTATTTCAGTTCTGTTTCTTGACAGCATCACAGCTGAACAAGGATGGCAAGGAGAAAAAAAGTCAGAAATTCCTGCTGCACTTTGAAAGATCCCTCAGAATTTATCTTGGGCCACTGAAATCACAGTCAAGGAAACTGCTCTGTTTTATTTTTACTTTTTTATTTAATTTGTGATGAATATATTTCATTTTTTCTTTATTTACACTGAGAGCATATGCACCAAAGACAAATTCCTTGTGTGACCAATCACATTTGGCCAATAAAGAATTCTATTCTTTATATATCTTCCTCCTTTTCAGTGGACGTTTCCCATTAGGTCTAATCAAGGCAATTGATTTTTTGGCAGACTTGACTGCTCTATGTTGTTGACCATGTATTTGAAAGGATGGAAGGATGGCTCAAGTCTTCTTTCATTTAACCTTATTCTGTTCTTCTTCCTTCCTGCCAGTGTCAGTAAGAGTTTGAAATCCATCTGCCTCCAGCCCAGTAACGTTCCAAGGAGATTTTCCACCTCTGGAGCTAAAATGATACTCGGGGGATTTTTTTCCTTTATGAATCCTGATGAACGTACACAGAGTTTCAAAAAAATGCCAGTAATTTCTGAATATGGATCGTAGGTGCCTCACTCTTCTTTGAATAAAATGCAATGTAACTACTGAGAAAAGTGATAGAATGTAGGAAGTGGGATTATACTGGTTCAATTATGGCACTGCTAGTTTGGCAGTCATATTTACAGATGTTAGGCATGTTGATCAGGGCTTCCGTAGAGATGGCCCTTAGGAAATCATGCATGTGGGACTTTCATATGTTACAACGAACCCTCTTAGAGATCTAGAGATCTAAAGATGCATTTTAAGGTAAACTTGGATTTTTGAAACAAATGCTCCAAGATTATTCCTCTCTACATTTCAAAAATGGAAATGCCACCAAGTTCATGGGAAATAGGGTTATTTCCTCTCAATATTTTTCCATTCAGCAAATACTGGGAGCTTTCATAGCACTTTATCAAGGGAATCCAATTCCAAGTGGCTCCTTTCTCTTCCTCTCTCCATTTCAAAAATGGAAATACCACCAAGTTCAACAGTCTAGTAAAGTATTAGAAGCTGTTTCTCAAAAGAATAAAATACCAACTGGCACATTTCTGAGAAACTGCAATTCACATCATTATTATGAAGGTGTTTATGAGCTGGTGAAGAATGGATGAAGAAAAGATTACAAGATACAAAAGAACAGTGTGAATATTTATATCCATCTTAAACGTTGACATATATTGATGGAAGTGTGTAGCTGCATGGAAACAGTTCTAGGAAGATCTAGAAGATAGTTGATCATTTTATAAACTCTTCAATATACCTTTCCTATGAAAGAAGGAAGCTCCAAGAAATCAACAAACTATGAACTAAAAGGTTGAATCATAGACCCAATCATATAATTTACTGCCCAAGATTAACATATATCCACCCAATGGTAAGGTTGATTTGCTGGTGTTCACAGACTTTCAAAGAAAATAAATCCTCTGTCAGAAGATGACATTGCAAAACAAGAGAGATGCACAAAACCAAGAGGGGCACACAAAACCAAGGTTGAAAGCCTGCTACAATGCTTATGGGTCAAGATAAAAGAATGATGTTGCCATAGGAATATACCAGGGGTGGGTTCTAATTATCTTTACTACCGGTTCGCATGCGCAGGAGCTTCCTGATGATGTCGGGGTCAGTGAGTGGAGCCTCCTGCTGGTTTTACTACCGGTTCTATAGAACCAGTCTGAACCGGAGGCAGCCCACCACTGCAATATACTATAAGCGACCCAATGGAGCAGAAAGAATAGATGAACATTTTGCTAATCAGTTAACAAATGTATCTCAAAATATACCACAATAGCAATGGGGGATTTTATTTAGCCAGACATTAACTGGAAGACAAACTCAGGAACAAGGGGGAAATCGAATAGGTCCCCTACCAACCGAGCTGACAACTTTGTCACTCAAAAAGTAGAGGAGTCAGCAAGAAGGGCACCTATACTAGGCTTTATTCTATGATCTCTTCGAAAGAGGAACATCACTTTCTCTGTTAGGAAAACGTCTTCCAGTCAACCTCTCCAAAATCCTTGCCTAGAGGTACAGGTCTTCCTGAAAGAGCCACCTGATTAATAGGAATCATACTAATTATGCAATTAAAATACATTTCTGTTACATCTCTATTGGATAAATTGCTGAAATTATCTATGTACAGTAGTGGCCAAAATTGTGGAAAAGTTTTGGGAAATGTGTATTTTTAAGGCTTGATGGCTAATCATACCATTTTTTTTTGGAGTTTCAAGATAATCATTTTCCAGTGCTGGAAGAGCCCAGACCATAAGCCAATTGGAAAACTATGGCACCAATTGAAGAAACTTGTTAGTCACAACTCAGAACCGACCCAGCAATTAAAACCCAACAATTATTCAATCTTGGTTTCACATTATAACAGCTGCAGAACAAAAAGACTTGGATCATTCCATGGGAAAACTTTGTAAGACTGTAATTTATGCTAAAGGTTTTAGTATACCTCATTTTTTCTGTGTTTCACTTTTCTTCTTTATACTTTAACTCCTATTCAAATAACAAATCTTCATAAAAATGATTGCATTAAATTCGTGATTAAATTATCTTTCCATTGATATACAATGTTATGGTACTACTAAAAAAAAAGTGGTGTTATTAGCTAGCTTTAGAAAATACACTTTCTCCAAAAGGTTTCCACAATTTTGACCGCTACGGTATTTTAGAATTGATTTAGATTTTTGTGTGTGATATGATTTTCTCTCCTTCTGCACTTTCATTTCAGCATGATACCAAAATATGCCCAGCATCCTCTTTCCTTGTATTTTGCCATTGATGAGGTCAACAAGAATGCCAAGCTGTTCCCCAACATCACAATAACACTGCAGATTTATCGAAACAGTTTCAATGCCTGGAAGGCCAGTCAGCATGTTTTAAATTTTCTGTTTCTCAGACAAGGGAGTCCTATCAACTTCAACTGTGTCAGAAGAAGGAATCTGAAGTTCTTGCCTATCATTGGTGACCTCACCTCGCTCAATTCCATCCAGATGGCGTACATGTTGAACATCTACAAGTTTCCACAGGTATGATCATTTTTTACAGATCAGCCTGTTGTTTTGTTTTGTTTTTATAAACCGTAGCTTCTTTAACTTTAGCCGGGCTATCATTTCCTAGTTCTGAGTTCCCAGAATCTACTATTGTGAAGCTTATGTTCTCTTTCTTTATGTAACACTTGATAGCAACCTTTGGGATTTTGCAATAAAGTCATAATGCCACAGTACAATCCAATATTCTATGGAGGATGGAAAAGCTCTATTCTCTTCATGATCACCAAAGGACTCCCAGTTTAATTTTCTATGCATCATTCTTCCCAACAGCTGAATTATGGCTCCTTTGACCCAGTCCTGAGTGACAAAGGGCAATTCCCTTCCTTCTTCAGCATGGTTCCCAATGAAAATTTGCAATACGAAGGGATTGTTCACTTACTAAAACATTTTGGATGGAACTGGATTGGCCTCTTGGTCTCAGAGGATGAGAGGGGGAAAGTATTTTTCAACATCTCCAACCAAGACTCTTCCAGAGTGATATTTGCATTGCTTGGATGGCATTGATCCCAATTTTAAGAGATGCACTCTTGAAGAAAGATTTCATTTTAGAACATGTACACAAAATAATAGACATTATCTTACAGAAGAATGTCACTGTATTCCTTGCTTCTGGGACTGTCCAATCTATGGAGATTTTACAATGGGGGCTTTATTCTCGTGAAATTTACCAAAAGAAACCAATAGATCACAGAGTATGGATCATGACCTACCAGTGGGATTTCACTTTGATGTTATCATCAAAAAGGAGACTCCTAGTTCAAACTTTCAATGGTTCCCTATACTTCTCACTCCACACAAGGACTATGCCAGGATTTCAGGAATTTCTTGAGAGAATAAAACCTTTGGAACATCCCTTTCCTTATGTTAATTGGTTCTGGGAGTCTGTGTTTCTTTGTTCACTGCCTCCATATCGGAAAGGAGCTAAACGCTGCACTGGGAGGGAAAAACTCAATGAAGCTTCTGGCTCCGTGTTTGAAATGACCATGTCTGGAGAGAGCTACAACATCTACAATGAGGTTCATCTTGCAGCACATGCGGTACAAGCAATGCATTCAAAAAGAGCAAAAAGAGCAAAGCCAGCTCCTCTGAGGAATCAGGATGGATCAAATCTTTGGCATTTTCAGCCATGGGAGGTATGTCATTGCTCTTCCCAGATACATTTATGGAAGCCCTGAAGGGGATGGGATGGGAAAGCAGCAATAGATAGACACTCTGGATTTGTTTCTCTGCAGCAACCAATTATCTGTTAGCAAATATTTGTCTGGAGAAACTAATTTATTTATTTATTAGTCATATTTCTATGTCGCCCTCGCTCCGAGGACTCTGGCGGCTATCACCAAAGACAGTATACTAACTACCATATTGCCCCCAACAATCTGGGTCCTCATGTTACCCACCTCGGAAGGATGGAAGGCTGAGTCAACCTTGAGCCGGTGAGATTTGATCCACTGATCTGCTGTGCTAGCAGTCAGCTGAAGTAGCTGCAGTACTGCACTCTAACCGCTACGCTACCTCGTCTCTTGCAGCTCAATCATATCTAAGAATTATCTTTAAAGTCCAGATGGAACTATTTTTGGAGATCTGTTACTTAATGCTGTTTCAGAGGGAGAAAATCTATTAATTTTAGCAGCTTCTTCGTGTATATATATATATATATATATATATAGTATAAACATTCCATCTTCCATTCAACAGTGTGTAGAAATATCTTTGTGCAATAACTATCAACATTTTCAACAGTATTCATTACATTGATAATAATTCTCTGATCTCACAGTAGTAATATTGAGCATAATAAATATCTTCATCTTTCCCTCTTTACATATCTTCTAATAAGAATATAATAATAGTATTGAATGTAATAATCCTAATAGTCATAATAACCATCAACCATCAACAATCATCATATTGTTTACATCTCTATCTTAACACATTTTCTACATTTCACTAATCTCCTCCTTTGTTTCTAACTTCCATTTTTAGTCTGTAACCATCAATAAAATAATTCCCATGTCATATAATATTCAGTTTGTTCTTTCTCTTTAATTGGAAGCATCAATCTACTCATTTCTCCACATTCTAATATTTTCTTAATGACATTTTAGCAGCTTCTGTGTAAAATCTCACACCCAACATCTCCCAAAATTTGAATGCACAAAATTAAAATGTTTTTAGGTTGTCTCCATAGTCTTTATTATAGAATCTCCCCAAATCACTTATTGTTTGTAGTAAATAATATTTCTGTTCTTGCTACCCTACCTACTGTCTATGGAACTTTCATTGCACTGTGTATATATAGTGAAAAATATTACATATATGATAATCCCTAAAAGTTTGTGAATCCTTATGGAGTTTTAATATTTCTACATAAATATTTCTGCACAAATCCTAAAACTAGATAATGAGGATTCAATTAAACCTGCTGATTGATTTATTGAGTAAAATGGACCAACACTTCATATTTGTACATGTAGAAAGAAACATATCTGGTTCTGAATTAATTAGAAGATAATATGAACAGGACTGTGTTTTACCTTAATTAATAAAATTTCCAATTTCAATGGGTGGAACGATTTGCATTGTAACCTTTTGGATGTACTAAATGTATATAACAATCTAGAGATATGGGACTGGAAGGATTGGAAAGACTAAATTAAGTTTCTACAAGAATCTAAGTAATATTAATTTATGGAAGTGATTCATGTGAAGGAAACTTCTACAAAGCTGTGAGTCAAGAATAAAAGGTAGAGAGTAATGCCTTCCCTGTGCTATCCTTTTCTTCCCATCGCACGTAATAGATACTTTACCTTATTTATGTGGGATAGTCTCTTTCCTCCAATTGTTTATTTATGCAAGAATTGAAAAATAAGCTGTGTAAGAATCTGATGCCATGAATTTAATTTTATATGTTAACATATTCCAGTTGAATCAATACATATTAGGAAATTGTTGGATCTGACATTACTGAAATTTAAAATGGGTTGTAGTCCATGGGTTGAAGAGATTTCTGAATCAAACCAGAAAGCAATTCAATTACAATCCTGATAAGATTCATTAAAGAAACTATGTTGAGATTATGAACAAAGCCAAACTTTGGGAAAGACTAGGATAAATGCTCTGACTTTTCCTCTCCCTCAAATCCAGCTTCACTATTTTCTGAAAAACACCCGTTTTAATAACAGTATGGGAGAAGAATTTTTTTTTGATGAGAAAGGGGAGTTTGACCCGGGATACGACATCTTCAACTTTGTCTCCTTCCACAATAAATCGTTCCAGAGAGTCCGGATTGGAAAGATGGTCTCCAAATCTCTTGATGGGAAGAAATTCACCATTAATGAAAGTGCCATTGTATGGAATCACAAGTTTCAGCAGGTGGGATGTTTGGCATACTCTAACTTGGTAGACTATTATTTGGAACTGAAGATGTTCTTCTCCAATGACCTGAAAGTCCAGAAGCGAAGGACAGTGACGATATTCTGGAATCTTGTGGTTTTGCTAGATATTTGGGATGGTCATTTTGAAGACCTCTACATACTGAGAATTGCAACAAAAATGATTTGGGGGCTGAAGGCTAAAACATATGAAGTTGCAGGAACTGTGTATGTCTACTTTAATGAAGAGAAAGACTAGGGGAGACATGATAGCAGTGTTCCAATATCTCAGGGGCTGCCACAAAGAAGAGGGAGTCAAACTATTATTCAAAGCCTCTGAGGGTAGAACAAGAAGCAATGGATGGAAACTAAGTAAGGAGAGAGGCAGCCTAGACTAAGAAGAAATTTCCTGTCAATGAGAGCAATTAATCTTTGAAACAACTTGCCTCCAGAAGTTGTGGGTGCTCCACAACTGGAGGTTTTAAGGAAATATGGCACAACCATTTCTTTAAAATGGGATAAGTTTTCCTGCTTGAGCATGGGGTTGGAGTAGAAGACCTCCAAGGTCCCTTCCAACTCCGTTATGGAACTGAGTTGCATTTTGAAATTAATATGAAATAAGAATATTTATGCATGTGTCCTTCTGTTTGATTTAGTTTGCTCGACAGGCTACTAGTTTCTTAAAAGACAATAGATATGCATTTTTTGTAATGAACAGAATTTTGCATTTTCCCAATGTAATATGTAATCTTGGGTATTGCTGTTACGAATGGAGTAAAAAGAAGGAGGAGAAAAGGTTTTTGAAAGGAGAAAAGGTTTATTATAAATGGCGGTACTCCTATGGAGCCCTTTTTAGAGAAATCTCTACATACAAATGATACTTGATGGAATTTAGTGAGGACTCCCAGAAAGGAGGTGTTTTTTCCTGAAGACAAAGTTGCAGTTGAATATGGAGCGTTTGATTGATATCTATAGTGATGCTAAACAATTCCTTTATTTTGTTAAGATTTCTATCTACAGGTGAGGACTGCTCAGAAGAAAGTCCATATGTCTTTCTTGATTTTGGGTCCTGGCAGATAAAAAGGAACACCAAGGGTATTCCAATCCTACAAAATGAAAATGGATGACATTTCCTACAGAATGAAATTCTTCATTTTGTTCTAGATTGCACGTTGCAAAACCTCTCTGATCTGATCTGATTTCTAGTAGGATTGAAATATTTTAGATGTCTCCCACCAGGGACCCCCTTGCTCTCAACTATCTCTTTTTGTTTTTTTACAAATATGTTTGCAGAAAAGTCAGAACTCATCCTAGGAATAGAAGGATTTGATGTAAATATGGGCACTCTCCCAAAGCATCCTGGGACATGTTGACATCAGAAGATTATGCATGTCCCTGAAAGTACCCAGTTCTCCTAATAAAAAGGAGGACTTGCACAACATCTTGATGAATCTCATTCCTAAACCTTTTCATTTTTCTTTCAGGTACCTCCCCATGCCAGATGTGTAGAGAGCTGCCATCAGGGATACAGCAGAGTTGTTCAAGAGGGAAAACATATTTGTTGCTACAATTGTAGACAATGTTCTGAAGGAAGAATTTCAGTTGAAACAGGTAAATAAAAAAAAGTGACAGCTAAGAGTTGAGAGCTTCCAAACTCATCTTTTCTTCATTCTTTCCATCTTTGATATGCTATTTAGAGGAATGGAATTGGGGTAACCTTTGGTAGATTTCTTTTTCAAAGATGGGTCTAATTTAAACACTTTTATAAATCCATTCTATTCTGATCTCTTTTCTTAGTTTTAGAGTTGCAATTCTGTTCAGAGTCCTCCACCACTAATAGTGCAGTTCAAAGGAATATATATGCATAAATAACAGACCAGAATCCGTACACTTTTTAAGAAAGCATTATTATATGTCAAGGGGATTGTGAATGGCAACCCCAGCAATGATCTCTCTCAATTAACTCTATAGATTGTCCTATATAGTTGGAAATGACTTGTTCTTCTTCATGTATTTCAGATGCTAACCAATGTGAGAGATGCCCAGCGGATCAGTATTCGAATGCAGAAAAGATCCAGTGCCTTCCCAAACGTTTCAGCTATTTATCCTATGGTGAACCCTTGGGAATCGTTTTGATTTCCTTGATCCTTTTCTTTTCATTAGTTGTCATTTTGGTGGCACTGGCCTTCATTCTGCACTGGGACACCCCCATTGTCAAAGCCAACAACAGGAACATCACATGCATCCTTCTTTCCTCTCTCCTGCCTTGTTTTCTGTGCTCTCTGCTCTTCATAGGTCGGCCTGGGAAGGTGACTTGCTTTCTCAGGCAAATTATGTTTGGCACCATTTTCTCTCTCTCGGTTTCTTGTGTCTTGGCCAAGACCATCACGGTTGTTTTGGCCTTCCTGGCCACTAAGCCAGGAAACCAGATGAGGAAATGGCTAGGAAATAGACTGGCAGGATCCATCATTGTCTTCTGCTCATGTATTCAAGCTGTTATCTGCATGATATGGTTGATCATGTCTCCTCCCTTCCCTGAGTGGGACATGCATTCACAGATTGAAGAGATCATTGTTCAATGTAATGAAGGCTCAGATGCCATGTTTTACATCGTCCTGGGCTACTTGGGGCTCCTGGCCACCATCAGTTTCACTGTGGCTTTCTTTGCCAGAAAACTGCCTGATACTTTTAATGAAGCCAAGCTGATCACCTTCAGCATGCTTGTGTTCTGTAGCATTTGGGTGTCCTTCATCCCAGCCTATCTGAGCACCAAGGGGAAATACATGGTGGCTGTGGAGATCTTCTCCATCTTGGGCTCTACTGCAGGTCTCCTGGGTTGCATCTTCCTGCCCAAATGCTACATCATTCTCCTGAACCCACATCTGAACACCAAACAGCATCTAACCAGGAGGACAGATTAACAATGAATAATTCTGTAATTCAGCCTTTACCTGGTTACCAAAAACATTCATGGGAAAAGTCCAAATATTCAAGCTCGCAAACTTCATCATGCAATTCAATGCTATTTCTTTTCGTTATGTATGTAACATATATAATCAATTTCTAAGGCTTTATCCGAGCTGTAGAACAGTTAAATAGTGAAATCCTATACTGTAATTTTTTGGCATTTTTCTGGTGATCGTGAGTAATCTTAGGGGTGATCTGAAATATTGAAGAAAGCCAGGAATATGTAATTGAAGCTGTCCCTTTAAGGAAGTGTGCCTGTTCCATTACAGGCTTGCCTTATGAAACACTCTGCCCCTAATCTTTGGCAGACTTCTTCCATCCTAGCCTTCCATGCAGCTTTGAAGACCTGGCTTTTCCACCAAGTGCTGGGTCAGATTAGCTGGCTGGGTATTTATAGTTTTTAATATTTTGATTTATTTTTTTTTATAGTTTAAGTATTATTTTATAGGTTGTTTTAACTTTTGATTGGGAACCACCATCTAGAGTTGGTTAGAAGATAGTTAGCTGTATAAATGTTTGAAAATAAATAAACAAATAAACAAATAAATAGTACCATAATTGCATTGGAATTTTTTGATACTATGGAGAGAATAAGGGTATTTTGGGAAATGCATGGTTGCTGTTAACATGAGAGAACCTCTTTGGTTTCCAAGATGTCAAGTAGCTCTATTGAAAATTTTATACATTGGCCCCATTTTCTACCCCTCATTTTATCAAGTTGAGAAGTCACACCTGGCTCTTCTGTGGTGGAAATGGGGTGATTTTAGTTCTTCTGGAGGTGGGATACCTATAGAAATATGTGTGTGTGTGTGTGTGTGTGTGTGTGTGTGTGTATATATATATATATATATATATATATATATATATATATATATATTGTCAGAGTTTGTTGCAAAAATCAAATCCAGAACGCACACACAGATAACTGATTCTGCAGGTGCGACGTCTGCCACAGAATGCTGCAGTGGTAGTTTGCTGAGAGTGGAGAGGAGAAGCCGAAGTGAGGAGGCCTGGACTTATAGATCGGCAGAGGAAGAGATGTTACCCTCCTCTGGGGATATTGTTTCCCCCCCTCCTTCCCCCTGCCTCCCCCCCCTTTTTCATGGGGGGAGGGGCTTACGAACTACTACGCTCTGGACATTCTGGACCCCCCCCCACTATGTTCCACTCATGCCCTCGCTGGTAGGAGAGACTGAACACCATTTGAAAGAACTGAGAGATTTTTGTATCCCAACGAGGAGGATAGAACATTGTTCCCGTTAACCCTTGTAACGGGACCGGCCGTCGTGAGAGGATGGCTGGCTATTAGCCTCTGTTGGAGAAAAAGAACATTGGACCTTCTCCCTGTTGTGAGAGGACAGTGGAGTCCAGCTCTACAAATGGACATTTTGTGATCTGTATGTTCAGTTATCCCTTTGGACTATGATAGACCCCCGGACTGGCCTTTTTCCCATCTCTGGTTCGGTTGATGCTCCAAAAAGCCGACCTTCTTGCGCTGCGAGACTCCCCCCTCTCGCAGGCCTGGCCCTCCACATTATCGAGGGCCTATCTTGATGACGGGCTTTGGAACCCCGAGAGATGGCATGTAGCAAAGAGGGGGTTGAGGGGTTTTTTAGGAAAATTTTTTTAAAAAATTTTAAGGGGACCCGGGAGGGAGGGGGGGGTTGTAAAAGCGGACCTGGGGGGGTCCAGATAGTAACTGAGCGGGATGATGGGTCGATTAGTTGCAGCAGGAGGGTCGCGAAAGGAAATTTAACCGGGAAGCAGGGGGATGACAGGAAGGGCTGTGAAATTGAAATAATGAGTGGGAGGGGCAGGTATGACGGACGCAGGGGGCCATATCAAGTGTCGGGGGTGCGCATACGCTGTCTACGAGCGATTGCGCACTCCGGCCCCCGATGCGTGACTTGTGTCCTGGGTTGTGTAGAGTCTCAGGCCCTGGGTCCGCGGCTGATGTTGTGTAATGCCAGGTCGGTGGTTAATAAAGCCCCCCTCATTTGCGACCTTATTTCGGAGGGGGGTGCGGACCTGGCAGGTATTACGGAGACCTGGTTGGGCCAGGAGGGGGGGGTCCCCCTCGTTGAGATGTGCCCGCCAGGTTTCCGTGCATTTCATCAGCCAAGGGCCCAGGGGAGGGGTGGGGGAGTGGCGGTGATTGTTAGGGAAAGTCTTTGTCCGAGGGAGACCACTGTTCCTCAGATAGCCGGATGTGAGTCCCTCTGTGTAAAGTGGGGCCGTGGGGTGCAGATGGGTTTGCTGACTGCGTACCTGGCTCCCTGCCACGTGGCAGCGACCCTGCCCGAGCTACTCGACGTGATTGCCGGGGTGGCGGTTGATACCCCCAGACTTATCGTCATGGGGGATTTCAACCTTCCATCCGCGGGTGAGGCGTCAGAGGCGGCTCGGGAGTTCATGGCTTCCATGACGGCCATGGACCTGACCCAGTTAGTTCAAGGCCCCACTCACATAGGGGGACACACTCTGGACCTGATTTTTGTCTCTGGTCAGTGGTTGAATGATCTTGGTAGAGGGGACCTAGACATTAAACCCTTGTCATGGACAGATCATTCGCTCCTCCAACTAGACTTTCCTACCGCCGCCCCCCGCCGCAGGGAGACGGAGCCAATTAGATGGTTCCGTCCCAGGCGCCTGATGGAACCTGAAAGGTTCCTGACGGAGCTTGGGCCGTGCCCTGAGACCCTAACACACGACTCGACTGAAGAGCTGGTGGCCGCCTGGGAAAGGGCGGCCGCTGGAGCTTTGGACCGCGTCGTGCCTTTGCGGCCTCTGACCCGATGCCGATCTCAACTGGCTCCTTGGTTTTCTGAGGAGCTGAGAGAGATGAAGCGTCGGAAAAGACACCTAGAGAGCATTTGGAGGACTAGCCAATCCGACTCCGACCGGACACAGGTGAGGTCTTATATCAAGACCTACCTAGTGGCGATAAAAGCGGCAAAGTCTAACCACTTTTCCGCTCTTATCGCATCTGCAGAGAACCGCCCAGCCACCTTGTTTAGGGTGACCCACTCCCTCCTCCGGGGGGGAGTGCGGGAAGATCCCTTGCAGGGTCGCGCTGAGGATTTTGTGCAATTCCTGCACGATAAAGTCGCTCGGATTCGGGATGGCTTGGACTCCGACTGGATGAGTCCACGGGAGGAGACGAGGGCAGGTCTTGAGAATGTTACCTGGGAGGAGTTTGATCCTGTGACTCCCGAGGATGTGGACAGGGTTCCGGGTAAGATTAGTGCCGCCACGTGTTTATTGGACCCGTGTCCCTCCTGGTTGGTGCTGGCCTCCCGGGAGGTTACACGAGGCTGGCTCCAGGGGATTATAAGTGCTTCTCTGAGTGAGGGTGCCTTTCCTGCTGCCTTGAAAGAGGCGGTAGTGAGGCCCCTCCTCAAGAAGCCTTCCCTGGACCCGGCTGAATTAGCCAACTATCGTCCAGTCTCCAACCTTCGTTTTGTGGCGAAGGTTGTTGAGAGCGTGGTGGCACGACAACTTCCCCGGCACCTGGATGAAGCTATCTATCTAGACCCGTACCAGTCGGGCTTCAGGCAGGGGTACAGCACTGAAACGGCATTGGTCGCGTTGGTGGATGATCTCTGGAGGGCTCGGGACAGGGGTTGCTCCTCTGTCCTAGTCCTATTAGACCTCTCGGCGGCTTTTGATACCATCGACCATGGTATCATGCTGCAGCGGTTGAGGGGGTTAGGAATAGGGGGCACCGTTTTGCGGTGGTTCTCCTCCTTCCTCTCCGACCGCTCGCAGTTTGTGTTGGCAGGGGGACAGAGGTCGACCTCGAGGCATCTCGCATGGGGAGTGCCGCAAGGGTCGGTCCTCTCGCCTCTCCTGTTCAACATTTATGTGAAGCCGCTGGGTGAGATCATCCGTGGTTTTGGGGTGAAGTGTCATCTGTACGCTGATGATACTCAGCTGTACATCTCCACCCCAGACCACCCCAACGATGCCCTTGATGTGATGTCCCGCTGCCTGGAGGCCGTGCGGGCCTGGATGGGGAGGAACAGGCTCAGACTCAACCCCTCCAAGACCGAGTGGCTGTGGCTTCCGGCGCCCCGATATAGTCAGCAGGTGCCATCGCTGACTATTGGGGGTGAATCTTTGCCCCCCACAGAGAGGGCTCGCAATCTGGGTGTCCTCCTGGACGCACGGCTGTCTTTAGAAGAGCACATGACGGCCGTGGCCAGGGGGGCCTTTTATCAGGTTCGCCTGATTCGCCAGTTGCAGCCCTTTCTGGATCGGGACGCCTTGCGCACGGTCACTCACGCCCTTGTCACCTCCCGGTTGGACTATTGTAATGCTCTCTACATGGGGCTCCCCTTGAAGAGCACTCGGAGGCTCCAACTGGTCCAGAATGCGGCCGCGCGGGTGGTTATGGGTGTAACCCGTTGCGCCCACGTGACACCCCTCCTGCGCGAGCTGCACTGGCTCCCAGTGGTCTTCCGGGTGCGATTCAAGGTGTTGGTTACCACCTTTAAAGCGCTCCATGGCATAGGACCCGGGTACCTTCGAGACCGTCTTCTGCCACCAATAGCCTCCCACCGACCAGTCCGCTCCCACAGAGAGGGTCTCCTCCGGGTGCCATCAGCCAAGTTATGTCGGCTGGCGACATCCAGGGGGAGGGCCTTCTCTGTGGGAGCTCCAGCCCTGTGGAATGAACTGCCCCCCGAAATACGAAAGATTTCCGACCTCCGGGTGTTTCGCTGCGCTCTGAAGACCCTGTTGTTCCGCCAGGCAGGGTTACTAACATAACGTTTTAAATTGGGGTATTTTAAATTTTTGGGATTTTAATTGGAGCCTAATTATTTAATGATTTTAAATTTTAAATTGTTGTCGTGTTTTTTGTGTTTTTAAATAGGCTGTACACCGCCCTGAGTCCTTCGGGAGAAGGGCGGTATAGAAATAAAATTATTATTATTATTATTATTATTATTATTATTATTATTATTATTATTATTAACTTTTATATATATACATAATAACACATGATTAAATGTACAATACCAACAGCAGATTCTTCCAACGTG